GAGCACCAGTCAAACACTTTCCCCACAGATTTCTAAATGATGTTTGCCTCCATCATAGCCTATGGGATCTATTTATTTTACTACAGTTATTAGAGGATGCTTACTACAGGCTGGTAATGATGTAATCACTTTCCAAATATTCCTAAACTCCCCCACCTCTAACCCACTGGCAACAGCTTGATGGACGGGGTCACTTCTTGCAGGTGGGGGTAGAGGAGGATCACTGTTCATTCATCTCTGTGCCCACATTAGATCTAGCAAAGTATTTCTAAGTTAGCTAGTGCTCAATATTTATTGAATTAAATTAATATTTAGAGATTACATCTTATTTAAATTTCTTTCATGTCATGAGAGTATTTCTGTATAGGTTAAAAATGAATGGAATGTCAAAATGACTTATAAAAATACACATTTGCTAGCGTAATGAAGCGGCTACACCTGGGGGTCTATATTTAACTTGACCTTTTCTATAATTTGACTGAAATCATTAGCACTTCTACAGTTTAACTGAAGTAGTTGTAAAAAGACAAAAAACATTTTTACTGAGGAGTTTCTTTTCCCTCCCCAATCATGCTTTATATAGGTAAGTTCCAATACAAAAAAAAACATTCTTTTGAAGTCCCTAACATTGCCATGAAATTCCTGTTCCTTCTGGGGTGGTAGCTCTGAGGGCTAGTATGCCTATTGTCTGAAAAGCATGTAGAAGCAAAACTGTTGCAGCTGAGAAATGACCGTGTTTCCTTTGAGTTCTCAGCAAGAGTAATTGAATGTAGAATATCTTACTAAACACTGGACTGTGACAGTGTGTTAACACTCTGACTGTCTCCTAACAGCAGGGCAATTATTTGCTGAGTGGGATTTTTATAAATCCCCTGGCACTAGTATGTCCTGATCATTATGATGAAGAGCATTGGTCAGTGTTGATTCAGCAGCCCCTGCCTTAGCAAATAATCTCATTCACAGTTCTCTGGCCCACTTTTACTTTTCTTGTTACCAGAGATCTTTATTACTCTTTAGTACTTGAAAAGTACCAAAGCATTTTTCAGGCATTTTTAAAATTAAGATTAAAAAGCCAAACATGTTTTAGACAGCTCTCTGTTTAGAATTGGTTTTCTCTCAAAATATTCACAAATTCTGAATCCAGGGGCAGTAAAAAGCTTTTTGTGGCACTCAGTGACTCCTGTTGGTGCTGTAACGATCATTTCCAAAATTAAGATTTGAATTCATCTACCTGTCCTGTGTTCTTAGTAGTTCTGCATTATTAAAATCAGTTGTTTCCTAATAATTAGAAGCTATTATTTCTAGTAGGGTAAAATATGAAACCGAAACTCTAGTGATTGTGCTTTGGGAAATAAAGGTGTATACAATCCTGTTTTATTTTCTTTGTATTTTACAGAAACTTTATTTACGTTAACCTCAGTAACAATGAGATGAAAAAAAATTAGACTATAGCTTCCCCCAGGAAATTACAAAAGAAAGCGCTGTGTGTAAGTTGGAAATGTCCATTCAAATCCCCCTTTATGAAATAAAACAGTAGACATATAACAAGTAAACAAGTAAATCCATTTGTTTTCAAATCCATTGCCTTTTTCTACTATATTTCCATATAATACTTTAATACAAGAATAAAAACTGAGAATAAAAGAGCCAACTGATAGATTGTTCAAAATATGGAAGGGTTCAAAATATTAATGTAACGCTAAGGGTGACTGGGTAACAAATGGTACATTTGCTCGTTGCTCAACCTGACATAATTAATATTCTAGGTCATGCTTAAGTTCCCATGATGGAGAGTTTGAAGGGGGGAATTCAAGAAAAATATATATCTCTTATATAAGTCATCGCCTTCTTTTTTTTTTTTTTTTTTTTCCTTTTGACGAGTCAGAATCATAGCCTTTAAAAAAAATCCCTGCTTTCACACCTCATTTGCCGTCTTCATCACTGGGCAACCAGTCAGCAGCAGGGCCTGATGCAAGGAGGTCAGTCAGAAGCTATTAGCAGAGTCCTCTCCAGAGATTTCTTGGGTCTTATTGAGTTGAATGTTAGCATGACAGTACTGCAAATAACTCAGTTGTAGACCTTTTTTTTTTTAAACAGTTAGCACAGATTTCCCCATAGTGTTGGTCACTCTAGAAAATTATTGCTGAAAATGAAGTCCCCAATGCTAGCTTGGCAGTAGCCCTTCTAAGTTGTGAAAAATGTGAAAACTGAAAAATATGTCATAGTCCCATAGGGTTAATGTTGCCTTTTGTGACTCATATTTTAAAATACCAACAATGAACCATTATTCACTAGTGGCTTACAAATTATGAAATATGGCAATTGAGAAAATGGTAAGTAAGGCTTATTTTATTTACCTAAGGAAATAATAATGAAATGAGTACTGGGTCAATATAAATAAATGGGACATTTGCTTGCAGTAGGGATGGAGGGAACGCTGGACTGTTTTCATTGATGTACGTTTGCAAATATATTAATTTAATTTCTAAAATACTGACTCCTTGAAGATTTTAAATGATACATTTTAAATTCAATTAAAATATATTTTCTATCTATATTTGATTTAAATTGCTAAGAGAATACACATGAGGAGGTCTCCATATAGGTTGCAAAATATAATTTAAGAAAGCTATCATGTCTACTGATCTATTTGCATTTCCCATCTAGCCTATGTATACATGTGCATGCAAATGTGGAAGGAGATCAAAGAAGATTTCTAATGGGGGTACAGCTAATAGCGGGTTGCAGCTCTTCCAGTGAATAGATATTTTTAAATGAGAAATTTTAAGCTGGTTCAAATGTCTCTGTTTTACTAATTTACTCTGTATGGCTGTAGCCTGTAGTTAATTAGGTCATCATCAAATAGTATGTATCACTTTTCTGTCTTTTAATGTAGATTTGAATATGTAGTTTTTGTGTCAGAATAGTCTTTCAAATATAATATTTACTGCTTTTTCCTCATTACAATTAATAAATATCTTAGATTTTCACTCCACAAATCATAAGAATTACCATCCACTTAAAAGTGGCAATCCATGGAAAACTATTATGGACATATGTATATATTTTTCTTAACATCATTTTAACAAACTGTCTGTGTATCTGCCTTGCTCTATATTGGGTACTACAGTAAAAGAATGTTAATATCACCTTCAAAATGATTCATACAATTGACTATAATGTTTTCAACTCAGGGTTTTTTTTTCTTTGCATAAATTTATTTGGGAAAAAGCTTCAAGGGAGAGCCAGTTCAAAAATATTTTTAAAATATACAAACCTATTTATCGACAGTTATAACATGAAAAAAGTTGAGCTGGAGGGGACCCAAGTGGTTCTGTGATAATTCATTTCCTGATTGCAGTGTGAACAAAAGCAGATTGAAATGGACATTCCATGAATTTTTTTTAAAAAAGGGTAAAATGCATATTTTTTGAAAGAAGCCAATAAAATGTTGAAATAGATCTTATTTTCTCAGATAATTTTTTAGGTTTGTACAGCAAGAGTCGAGTGGGGGCTGTCATGGGTCTTCTGAATATGTATTGTAACTTGAAACAAGTATTTAGGGCTCATTTTGAGAGTGTGTACTCTGTGTCAAGCACTGTGCCAAGCTCTTGGGATGCAACAGAAAGCTCAGAGTCCCTGTGCGCAGCTGTGCTACCTTGGGGAAGACGGACATCCACAAAGATAATTATGAAACTGTGCTGATCAGTGACGGAGAGTGATCCCTGGCTATTAAGGAAGCAGTAGGATGGGACACTAATCTAGCCTGGATTGGCATTAGGCAGAGATTAGCACTTATTGAAGTGCTAGGCTGGAATATTAAATTATCAGGATAGTTTTTCAAAGAGAATTATTTGTTAGTCATAATACTTTGGAACTGCTGGTTCTGTGAGTTAAATATAGCAACCGGGAATATTTGTGGATGTGATGGAGGTATAAGAGAAAAGCGCATTTTTAGGAAAAATAGGATAAATGGATACATTCTTTACATTAGTTCAGAATGTCTATATTGTAATAAACAAGTTGCAACCCTTCCTTATGAATATGCATCTGAGTTTATACAAAGAGCCTCACAATGTAGCTATGTACATCTTATCTACTCAAACACCACTGGATGTTCAGAAAATGGGCATCTGGTTAATTTGAATTTAACATTTGCCTTGCATACATCTATGGCACCTCTATTGGGTGGCAAGTTCTGTGCTAAGCCTTGACTATTTCGATGCACTGTGTGGTAAGGTCAGTGATGGAAGAGCAGTGTCAATGAGACACTGTAGAAAAATAGCCTTAACCACATGAATGCAACAGATATGCTTCATTAGAACCTACATGTAATTTTGAATGATTCATAATATACAGATAGATATGTATATGCAATGCATACTATAAGTAATTGATAAAATGTGTATTAAAGATGCCAGTTTGATGACTATTCCAGAGAACTATAAAGAGCTGCCGTTAATGTGGAATGAATAATCGTTCAAACACTAAACTGTGAATAGCTTTGAACCTGATACTGTTTCCAATGGTATATATGCAGAGTTTGTGTTAGTGAGGATATGACTTATAGCTATGACTTACTACACCTACATAGTATAATTAGAATGTAAAATGGATACGACAATGTTCTCCATTGTTTTTTCCTTAAAAACATTTATGTAAAATATGTTGTATGAGGCCAGTAAAAACCCAAACTATTGCTCAAGTATTTTTAACATGTTTAGGCTTCAGCCAGGAATGATTCAGAACTTTTAGTTTGGCACAGAGACAAAGTATGAACATTTTGTGAAATCTCAGATATATCAGATGTCCACCTCTAGTTAAGCCCGAGAGTTGTAGTTTAATCTTTATTTTTTAGTTAATTAATTAATTGTTTTGAATTATGGTAACCATATATACATCTACCAAATCAAACTCATGAAAATTTTTCAGGCCATCCTTTGTCTTTTGTTTCAAATGAATATTAAACATAAACATCAAAATTTCATCATCTTCTCCAGATTCCAGGTATTTACAACTCACCATTCAGAAAAGAACCTGATCCTTGGGAGCTGCAGTTACAGAAGGCAAAGCCTGAAACCATGGAAAGACCCAGATCCAAGAAGAGGCACTCCCTCCCCCTCAACGAATGGCTGGCTTGTACCAGTGCCCGCTCCTTCCCTCGGATGGAAATTCTGCCACCTATCGGTAGAAAACAGTGCCAGGTACTCCTCAGATCCTGTGAGAATTCTGTTAATGACTGTCATTTTTCCATTCTTGAAAAACATTGCCATCATTTTCTTTTGCCTTTGTGACTAAGAGGAAAACTAGTCCTTATGGAATCTAATATTAGATAACCATTCTAACGTGCTATTAGAATAGATCCCAAAGAAGTGACTAATACTTCTTTGGCCTTGAGTTTTATTGTTTGAATAGGGATTGAATGCAAAGGAGATGGGCTCAGGTCTGGTCTTTTTTGCAAGTGCAGTACTTGTGATAACCTGCTATTGCTAGAAATATGTAATATGTTAGCCAACTTACTTAATGCAGCCTCTCATCTGATAATCCATATCATTATATACAGTTGGAAACATAATTTAGGTTTGAGTAATTAAAAAGTCCAAGTTGGAGATTTAGACGAGGCTCAAAGTAACGCAATACCCACAGTGCACACAGACTTGTAATGGAGCAGGTGTGACAGATGATTCCTAGGGATGAAGAGTGAAGTGGGGTGGGTTGGGTGATGATAATCACTATCTTGAAAGTTCTAGAGTGCAGCTATCATATAGTCTCCATCAGTGTTCAAGCTGGAGTAGACAAATACTCCCAGGTAGCCCCAATCTGGGTTGGTTTTGGTTCACACAGGCAGGCTGCCAATGCCCACCTATAAGCATTCTCCACAGGCTTGCTCTTCTCTTGTTGTATAATAAACTAGCACCAAACTTGGTAGCTTAAACCAATGCACATTTCTTAGCTTACCATTTCTGGGAGTTAGTACATTTTATTCTAAATTCTGCCATTGGAAAAAAGTGCCTCCTTTTCATTTTCTAATCTAGCAAGTTCCAGTGTATACAGTGAGGTAGCCCTACTAATGGAGATGTGTTACGTCAACACACCACCAAATATTAGAAGGCACCATGAAGACTCTGGCTCGCTCTGCATTTGCTTCCTCCAAGTTATGGCTTGGGACTCTTGCTTCTGTGTTTGAGGCTGCTACTGCTCCACATCTTTTTTAAACTCCTCCTGAAATACATAATAATAGTGATAAGAATAGCACTCATTTTGGAGTGTTTACTGTATTCCAAATACAACAGTAAGAACATCAGTAAGATCATCTTTACATACCTTATGAGCAAAGTCATACTTTCAAAGCCCCACCTGCTGAAGTAGCCTTAGCAAGTGTCTTGGCAGCTCTAGGCCTCACCCATTACCTGCCTGAGAAAAAAAGTCAGTAATTGGATTTCCAAATAAAGTCATTTTACATCTGAGGACAAAAGGTCTAGAGAAGTAATTTTCCCTTAATGACAACCAAATGTTAACTTTTAAACCACAGGATTTTGTCAAAGTAAAAGATTATGAATCTATTTAAAGAGAAAAAAAAATCTCTATTTGATTTCTTAATAGAGAACTTGAAATCACATTGCTGTATCTTTAAAAAGTAAAGTTCCAATAAAAATTCATTAACTACTTTCAAATATAGCAATCCTCCTGTCCAGCTGTGAAAAGTACTAGATGATACTTATTTGCCATTTGTGTTATTTACGGTCCATGACTTTTATGGTAACTGGTTCCTATTATTGGTTTCTATTAATGTAAAACATAAGTGAACATAAATGAGGCGTGAATCATTTCTTTTTATTAGCCCCACCGTCTTCACTCAGTGCTTGCGGTAACTCCAGCTGTGTCTTGTTAGTGATAACCTATTTAAAGAAGAGATCCTTAAGGATAAGGAATATGAGTAGGAATCTTTGTCTACTTTAGATCACTTCGTGCTGGCACAGCAATAGTGGTGAGGAGAAAGCAACCCCTTAATATGTCATTAACTGCACAGCAAAATCTTAAGCTACCTCTGATTTGTATTGTGCTTCCTATGATATGCATTAACCACTGGGTCCTAGTAACTAGTATAAATAACTACTAATTTAAAGGTAGATGGTTATAAATCACTCTTGATAGTTGCCACTTGCAGACTTTCCCCTGCGATATACTTACATCGTGAAATGATTGTGATTGTACCAGTGTTATTAAGCAATCAACTAGATTTTTTAAATAAACGCTTAAGGTAATGAAAAAAGACGGACCTTCTATATTTGGTAGAGGGAGAGTGACAATTAAATGTAATATGTATTTTTCACTTAAAGCTTCATTTTCTCTAAAGCTTTATTTTCATGAAAAACATATCCTGCCCTATTTCAGAAAAGGAGGGCTTTGTGAGGGGTATGCCCAGGACCTTCCTAATATTTTACTTACAGGGAAAATGAATTCTTTTTTAATTATATTAGGGGAAAAACATTTTTCAAAATCAGAAAACCAAGTAATACTTCAATACAAATACACTTCAGTTTAGCATGAGAAATTTTCTATGTAAGTCATGAAAGTTTCCCTTAACTTAAACTATTTTTCACTTGTTCTTTTGCGAATATATTTTTAAGATATTCTTGTGGTGTTTTGTATGCTCTGATTTAGAGAACACATTGTTTCTTTACCACAGTTTAGTAAACTTGCTCTACTTGGTAGTATTCAAAAACCAGTCATTGTTAATAAGGCTAGACATCCTCTAATGAAATGTGTCCTCTGCTTGTCTGTTCAGGGGCCCTTCCGTGATATGGCCGAGGTGTTGGAGCAGCGCTACAAGCCTTTGGAGCCAACGCTGCGGGTAGCAGAGCCCATCAGCCAGCTAACAGAAGCCAGACAGGAGCTCAGGAGACAGGAGTTGGCACGAAACATCCATGACAACATGTGAGTTCTCGGCTAAGAAATGGCTGTGCCCTGTGCTCTGTCCCCTGCCCTCAGGTTTCTGGGATTCCCTATGTCCTTAAAGTGTAAAGAATCTTTTATGTGTGAGAAGCTGACCTATTCAGAACCTATAACCTATAATCTGCAATATAATCTACAGTCATCTTTCAACATGCAAATGCCTTAGATAAGGTCAATATCAAAGGCAAATGTATGTGTATATCTATATCTACCTATCTGTATCTGTCTATGCACATATATGTGCATATATGTATATTACATGGAGGGAGAAAAAGAACAGCATTTCTAGGAGTAAGTGATCACTATCCATGCCTCTGTGAAGATCATTTTCTTAAATTATCTAGTAAAGGGCCCTCCCTGGTGGCGCAGCGGATTAAAGCATTGCACTGAGAAGCTAAAGCCACTTCTGCATGAGTTCTATTCCCACCTGCCCCGGAGGTGACCACATGGCGTGGCAGACCTCTCCTGACCCGCCCGCTGCTCCCCTCAGCAGTGTACTTCATAGATCTGCCTGTTCTGCTCCCCACTCTGGTGAAGCCTCTCACCACCCCTGAGCCTCTGGCCTGTACCCCAGTTCTGTATGTACAAATAAAGTAAATCTTTAAAAAAAAAAATTATCTATTAAAAAGCCTACATGATCCATCTAAAATGTGATCCAACAGAACAAAAACATTTTTCTTAATGTGGGCTAAATTTCATTTGGATACATCAATAGAACATTGCAGTATTAATCAGATGCATTAAAAGAAGTTGTTTCTTATTGAAGAATATGAGTGAAAAGATAAAAAGACAATCTAATAACCTATTTTATTAACATCATTGATCTGGGCTTCAATTGTGCATCTTTCTCCAAAATACTTAATCTCTCATAAAGCAAAGAGTCATTTGTGATTTACAAATAGACCATTTAAAATCTAGAATAACATTTTAGAAATTATTACCTTATATGTATCTTGTAATTATATTTATAATCTATTTTATAATAATTCTTTAGCATTGTATATAATAAATATTAAGAAAATTATATTAGCCTAGTATATGTCATTATAGTTATAAGTCTAATATGAAATACTATATGTTATATAATAATCTACAACAGATAAACATACTAATTTGCTGTTTGTAGCAAATGTAGTATGTACTAATTATATATCTATATATTTTATATATAATTTATATAATTTAAAAATATTAAATATGTTTAGTTATGGAAAGAAACTTGAATTACCTCTCATCTAGCTCAGTAGATTTTGGGCAGTTTATCATCAGAAGGTTGGGTGTATACTATGCTTTATTTTAATCATTTATTTCTGGAAAGTCTTGAAAAATAAATGTTCTCACACAAATTCATGATAAAACTGGCAAGCAGCAAATAATTTTTATAAAATTTTCATTTTAGAGTAATTATGTGAAGTAAAATAATTAGCTATACAGTGTTTAACAGATTCTTTCAATAAATGACTGAGTCACCCAACATCAGATACATAAGAAAATAAGAAACATTTATTTCCAGTTAGTTTTGGGAAGATACGTTTTACCAAAGAGATTATAGAAAGATTAATTCTGCTCAGACTTAATCAAGCAAAATATGCCATTTTGTGATGAATATTTAAAGAGTTTTGTTACTCAGAATAGTTTTTCCATCTTCAATGATGCAAAGGATTATGAAATAACAAGATTAATTTATCAAACAGGTAACTGATTACACTGATATTTGTACAGAAACCATCATAGGGTGGCATCATATCTGAAAGGTTGATATATTTGGCTATTTTTCTTTTTTATCATTATGGGAATTGTAGTCATTTTAGAAGGAATGCAGACTCTGGTGCAAATCTTGACTCCACTACTCAATGGTATTATGATCATTAGACTTGATGAACTTCTATGCATCTGTGTGTGAAATGGGGAGATAAATATTATCTTAAAGACTAAACTGAGATTGAATCAGATAATAGAACACAGGAGAGTCTTAATACAAGATAATTATTATCATGTTATATTTTCTACAATCAAAATACTTCTGCATGTAAAATGACAAACTATGGAGAAGAAATGACGGATTCCACCAAAGCTGGGTTTCATTCTCTCATCAGGAGTCAGAAGTTAAGGAGGACCACAAATAGAAGTCTTCAGACTCCAAGATGTCCTGACCCCTTGGAAGATTTCCTATTAAGCATCTGAAATATAAATTTTCTGTGTTACTTTGCTTGGGTGGCCATACCAAAGTAGCACAGACAGGGAGGCTTAAACAACAGAAATTTATCACCTCACAGTTCTGGAAGGAGAATCTGTCCCAGTCCTCTCCTATGTTTCTGATGTTTACTGAAAATCTGTTTTCCCTTGATTTGTAGAAGTATCAACCCAATCTCTGCCTTCAGTTTCACATAACATGTTCCTTGTGTGTGTGTTGTGACCAAATTTCCTTCTTTCAAAGACATCAGTTACGTTGGAGTGGATGTTCACCTGCTCCAGGATGACCACATCCTAACTTATACTTACATCTACCATGTTCCCTAATGAGGTCACATTCTTTAAAATGGTTTTTGAAATGAGCTCCAGAAGTGGGGCTCCACTGCTTTACACATCGAGTGTGAATTAAGAGGGGTTCCGGAAGTCCTTTAAAAGCTTTGTGTTTGCTCTTGTTTCTAAAGAAATTCATTCCTTTTTGTCACATCCTCTTGAAGAAAATTGTTTTTCTTATTCATATGCCCATCCATGATAAAATAAGGGCATTAACCAAGCAATTAATAAACAATTGTTTTATGTGAAAAAATTTAGCTACCTATTGTTTAATATTGATTCAGAGAAGTTTTGCCTGTCCAGAATAGTTCGAGGTTTGTGGGAGGTTGGACTGTATAAAATAGACAAAAGTTTTGCTCTCATGGACCTTCTATTCTTGCTCTACATTGAACCAGAAAACCTGAGGACATTCTGAATATGAAGTAGATAGGGAAGTGCTGGGAAGCAGTCACTTGTGAGTTCAGAACAATAAGTGTAATTTTTTTTTTAATGCAGAATTTTATCTGGTCTCCAATAATAAAAAGGGTGTTCTTCAGAGAATGAAAATTGAGTTGGATTCTGTGAAAGAGATGGTTAAGATTTTGATAAAGGAAAGATAAAAGATTGATGATATAAAAAATTGTATTATAGGCCCTCCCTGGTGGCGCAGCGGGTTAAAGCACAGCACTGAGAATCTAAAGCCGCTTCCACATGAATTCGATTCCCGCCTGCCCCGGAGGTGACCACATGGTGTGGCAGACCTCTCCTGACCCGCCCGCTGCTCCCCTCAGCAGTGTACTTCATCGATCTGCCTGTTCTGCTCCCCACTCTGTCTCTGGTGAACTCTCTCACCCTCCGCATCTCTGGCCTGTACCCCAGTTGTATTATAGAAGAAGTTCACAGAATGAGGAAAAGGCCACCTTGACAGAAATTCATTTTTATGTGAGGCAGTAGAAAGACAAATTTTGGGTGGCTTCACGGCCAGACTCGAGGGTTTATCAATAGACAATAGAGCATTATTTAAGGCTGTTGAGTAAAAGGATGTTACAAGGGGAACGTGAAATTGTTGATGATGAGACAGATGTATTGGAGAAGAAATGTCCTGGAAGGAAAGCAACCTGTTTGGATAACATTACAATAATTTTGGTCAGAGGTAGTGGGATGGAACTAGATGGCAAAAGTCAAGAGTCCATTGTTTTTCTTCTGTAAGTAGTCTCTCAATGATTGCTTCTGCTTGCAAGACTCCATCTGCCACCACTATGCTCACAATTTCCAAAGTCTTTACCATCTTGCCCCTACATTCCAGAGTTAGACTTCCCACTGCCAGCTTTGTGTCTCCATCAGATGGTCCAGACTCAGTCCCACCACTGACTGGCCTCACCTTGATATGACTCACAGCACCAGGTGTCTGCACAGTGAGAGGACTGTCGCTCTTCTCCTGCGTTCATTTGGTCCTGAAATCCTGTCTACTCTACCTTTTAAGTGTCTCAAATTTATTTAGCCCCTGTTTTCCTTTTTAACTGCTGCTTTTATTTAGGTCATAATTTCTTCTTTTAATTACCATAAAAAAACTTGTCTGGTCTGCCTAGTTTTACTCCCATTTAGTTTATTTACTATAATAACACCATAAATTTTTAGGTGAGTGATTCAGTCAAAATGCTCTGTGATGGCTTCATCGGCTCCAGGATAAGTCATAATTCCTACTGTAAGACTTCACCATCTGATCCAGGCTTATTTCTCCAGTAAAGTGTCTTGTACATTCCCCAGGAAATTGCACTAAGGAGCTTCTGAACTGCTTGCAGTCTTCTTTGACTCACCTCTTTTCTGCTTCAGTAAAGGAATTTACCCCTTCCTGTGATTTACTTAATCTGCTCAAATCTACTTAGAAAATTTAAAAAGGATTTTTCATTTAATTTATAAAACATAGAATCGGCACCTATATTTAATATAAAATCTCTCAACCTTACAAGATGCTAGATCTCCAGTTATGCTATCCAGAGGCAACTGCAATTAAACATTTCTATGTATCTTGTGAAGGCATTTTTGTTTACTTTTAAAATGGCAAAATGTTACATATATTGTATTTCTTCTTTATGGAGGCTGTGGTCAGAATTTTAGTTTAGTTTTTTTTCAGAGAACATTTCAAGGAATATTTTCCGTTGTAAATTGGGGCCATGCCAAGTTGCCTAGAGGAAGTAAGGAAAGAAGTCATTTTGAAGAGGTAGAAGAAATGGAGGTCACAGTGGCACAAATGCTATGAAAGAAAATATTTGACTTACCTATCAAGGTGGCAGAGATGGAATGGAAGGGAGTATTCATCCACCAGATGATAGAGGCTGATAGGGGCCTCGCTCAAGCGTTAGGAGAGAGGCTATAGTCTTGTGTGTTAATACCGTCAATTAATTATAAGCATCCTGGCTTAATACAGGCAGGTATAATACATACTGTGACTGTATCCAAAATGGAATGCATCTATGGCA